AACACTATTTTATGGAAAAGTTCTTACTTTCAGATTTGGTTTTCTTGAACTAAAAGTTGAGTGTAGCTTAGATACATGAATACTTAAAGGTGCGTCAATGTTAAATCAGTTTCTACCAGGGGGTTTTAGGGGTATACTTCAAGAAAGCAGTAGCATGGACAGGGGTGTAAATAGATTATTGTTATAAATCAGAGAATTTTTGACTTATATTGAGATGCCACTATATGCCATTGAGACCTGCACATTTACACCTCAAGAAGAACTTGAATTTAATTCTACAAGTGGTAATCCAATTTATACTCATTAATCTCTTTCTAAGGAAGAAATTTTTCAAAATCATATCAGTTTTGAATGTTTTTAATATCCCAAAGAACCAAAATATGTTTGAACTATCAAACTAGTATATACATTGGATTGCGAAGCTTCATAAGAATCCTTACAAACAAAAATATATAATGTATTCCAGTAAATGTACAACCAAGCCTTTTTCTTTAATCCTCCTAAGATATTAACAGTAGTGAAGGAAAAACTTCATGAGTAGTGTGCAACAATATTTTCAAGAAGTGGTGTAAATCAGATTCCAAGGAATTTTTGTACAATTTGAAATCACAAGATTTTACCATTATCAGCTAAAAAATTACGATTTTTCAACTTTATACGCAGCCATTCCAAACGATAAATTACAGTCTGGGCTTCTTGATATCATTGACTTTTTCAATAAAGATGGAACTCGTAAATTTACTTTCATTGTTATTGGTCATTTGCAAAATTATTTTGTTAAAAACATTCTGATTGTACACAAGTACTCTGAAGTTGACATCAAAAAGAGTTTCTGATTGACAATATCTATGTTGTTTTTGCAGACCAGGTCTTCCAACAATCATTTGGAATTCCCATGTGTACCTTATTAGTAGACCTATTTTTGTATTCATATGAAGCAGAATTTATGCAAAATCTTATATGCAAAATGAAGAAAACACTTGCTGTGGCCTTCAACTCGACTTTTAGATACTAGTATATCGACGACGTATTGTCAATCAACAATGGTAATTTCCATTCTTATGTCGATGCGATGTATCCTGGTGAGCGTGAGATAAAAGACACCACAGAGTCTGATACATATGTTTCATATTTGGATATCGTACTATTGAAATAGACGTTAATGGTAATCTAACAACCAAGCTCTATGATAAACGTGATAACTTTAACTTTTCTATCGTCAACTTTCCTTTCTTATGCAGCAATATACCTTCATCACCTGCATACAGAGGTTATATATCTCAGTTGATTCGATACGCAAGAGCATGCTAAACGTATTTTTTAAAACGAGGTTGATTATTGACAAACAACTTGATGAAACAATATCAATAGTCTCGTCTAAAGTCATCATTTCGTAAGTTCTATGGTCGATACAATGACCTTGTCAGCAATTTAAAAGAATTGCACGCTTATTTTGGACTTTCAGTTAAGCGTGGCATTCTCGACGTTACCTAATTAGCTTCTGAAATTTACACAGCCTCCCTTCACTTTTGAAATATACATATAATAGAAATGCGGCCGAATGTCAACTGGTGTAGTAAATAGCCAATTAAAAGTTCTCTCACGGCACAGAGGTGGGGCATAAGTCGTCTGATCGTTATCAACAACAATTTTAGGTTCCTATGTTATTAATTTCGTAACCAATGAGAATCTACTAGTATTCTCCATTACGTAGCGCCGAGAAAGTCACGCCCTACTGAAAGTCCAAAGATAGGGTAAAATACTCCTATCGTTGAGTCAAATGCTGACTGATGTTTTTCATACTAATTGTTAGTCCATTATTTCTACACTGAATAGACGACAGATTTTTCCGTTATTTTCCGATCATGACAAGGAACATACGGCGGATGTGACCGGTCGAAAAGGGATGCTCACTCCTCCATGGTATCTGATCCCACCTCTGATGTTTTGGAGGCCCGTGTTTGCTCTGCCCTTATTTTGTATTGTTTTATGGACTTATGATCTTGAATCCTGTTTGTTATCTCCATATGTTTCACCTATATTCGGCACTTATGGTCTTAAAGCAATAGGGGGCCTTTTTTTCTTGCCAGCATCTGCTTTGTTAAAAACAATTCTTAAGGAATCACTGTCTACTTTGTTGGGTATGGCAAGGGCATTTGCATACTAGTAACGGGCGAATTCCGTTTTGCATAAATTATCCCATGTTTCCAACTTTGGAAAATGCTATTCCTTTTATAGTTTTGTATTTTACATTTTCAATAGTGACATGCCGGATTTTATCCACTTAAAACCGTATAAGTGGAAATTGTAGCGAGATGCAAATTTAGAGATTTGTTCTTAAAAATTAATATTTTATTTTAAGCGAGATGTAATTTAAGCGATTTTAAAAAGCTCTCGAAAAAAGTTCTTACAAATAAATCGCAATTAATTTTTAGCTATATTCAATTTTAGCGATCTTTGCATCCTCGCTAATAATACCAAAATTTAATCCTCGCTAAAAATTCTGCTTATAAAAATACAGTACCGGGTATGTGTGATATTTCGGAAGATGACGTGTTGTCTTAAGTGTCAAATTACCAAATAGTTCTACTCTCTAAAAAGCTTATAGGAACAAAACAAATATAAAAATAAGCAAAAAATTCTCTTTTTTTTGTTTTTAGTTTTATATGAAAATTATTCCGTTGTGAACAGAAATTTAAAAGATGTTTTTGCTCGAGCTTCACACTCGTTACTGTCGAATAATCATGCCCCACTCGTGAAATTAATTTCATATCCAACTACAAAGCAATAAATATTTATATGTATATAAGATATATTTTTTTATTAACTAGAGGTTTGATTATACTGCGTAAAAATTTCTTATAACAGCAATTGCACATAATTACATGCGCATGCTAATATCTAAGTTTTATATTTATTTTAAGAGAGAAAAAGAGAGGGATTCTTTTTAATGGAAGAATTTGCACAGACATCCTTCTGCAGAGTCAGGAGAACACTAAAACCTCTCCATTAGACAAAAACTTGACACAGAAAAAATATCAGTGTAGCTCAAAACGAGTGTTCAAATTATAAGACATGATTTTATAAAAATATTAAAAACATACAAAAAAAATAAGGAAATATCAAATGCCATAAAGATTATCAAGATTTTTTCGTTAAACACTTTTTGAACACCGTTCCTTAGACTTTGGTTAGGCCCATTAAACAGAGTTAATGATTGAAATCTGATGGCAATCTATATTTAAAGAGAGAGAATGTGTGGAGATGTGAAAGATGTGGCAGAAAATTCATGTGAATCTTCTACACTGCTACATTGTAACAAGATAAATGCCTCTGAATTTTTTTTTATCCATTTTGGATTTCATTTTTTTCCAATCGAGTCCTCCATTTTCAGTAAGACAGAAAGCTTCAGATGATTGTTTTGTTATTGTGAATATACTTATTAATGCCTTAAAGCTCATTTTATATTATGGCACATTGATACTTATAATTTATATGCAATGTTCTTTTCCATCCTTTATTATATTTTACTGTGTACTTCTACCAATAATTTTTGAAATTAATTTTTAACATACCCCCCTTTGGAAGGGGAAAATCTTGAATGAAGAGCAAGATAACAATTTAATTCTACCCACATAAGCTTTAAAACTGGATTTTCCATCTATAATTTCAAAATTGTATCTTTCTTCATTTCATTATTTATGACAAACTGATTTCATATACATGTATAGTATGTGTATCTTTCATTGAGCAGACAACACAAGAGCAGAATTCATTATTAATTTAACATTATTATTTTTCTTGCATGCTCAGACACAATGCATCTAGAAGTACATTGCCCCATCGATACTCTTTTGACTAAGTTTAGGCATTTTTGACGTGTTAGTGTTTCTTCACATAGTGTTTCCCTAACTTTTGAACAGTAACATTTGCAATGTCGCGCATTCAGTGCATGCGCAAATCCCTTTTTCTAATATATAATTATAACATCATTCACATTATTGGTATTATTGACATAATTATTCAATAATCGGTTTATTTTAATTATAATTTAAGTGCACATGCAGTTTAAATTTTATCAATATAAAATTATTTCAGAATACACCATGTATGCCTGAAAGTGAAACTTAAAGAAACAGGAAACTTTTCAGTCGATACTTTCAGCTATATATTCTTATATTTACACGTGTTTTTTTTTTTATTATTATTATTTATTTATTTATTCGTAAACTAATTTATTTATGTTTGGAGGGTGGATGCTTTTGACCATGCACCAAGTTATATTTGCAAAATATAGAATGTAAAATTAATAGATTTAGTGTTTTGAGCCCAAATAAATTTTTATAAATCCTACGTAATTCTAGAATGCATCTCTTTGATTGTTATTTAACAACAATAAACATTGAGACCCAAGGTTAATTTAATATACAATTATAAAATTTGAGCTAATTTTTTTATATACATGTATATTCATAGGTTTGACTCTTTCGTTTATTGAGTTAATGGACAAAGTTTATTCCTCATGTTCATATTTTTAGAAGAAAAAAATATAATCCAATAACTTTGATATTACATACAGGAATATTTCATTTTAACATTTTTAACTTGTAATAATATAAAATAGAGAAATTCATCACCGATATCTTTTTTTCACAAAACACTTGCTCTACTTGGAAGTTCTGGATCTAACTGGAATATTTCTTGTGATTGCTTACTAAGTATTTTTTTTATTATTATTAAATTGAAAAAAAAAACAGTGTTGTCGTATTTATTTGCTGTATAATAATTGTGATTTATTATAAAACTTGTCAAAACTAAAAACAAATCCAACTGTGTAAATCAAAATACATTTGTAAGGTGTATGCCATTTTCATGCGCTTCCGAAGAATAAAGAAATGTTTACACACAATGTTTCTAAAATTTTAGCTCATACATTGTACAGTTTATCAATGAGTTATGAAAAATCAAACTATACTTAGACAAGACAATAAGTAACTTACCCTGTGTCAATAATCCACAAACAAATAACATATAATCCAAGGACAAAAATTATGAATTTGCGCTAGAATGTGCGCTAAAAAACAGTTAAATTGTTTCCTCTGGGAAAACATTTGAATACCGACACCAAACATACTTTGAAAGCAAAATATAAAATACCTTGTTAAAAAGAATTTATGAAACTGATACTAACCATTTGAAATCTTTTGAAATACCAGGTATATTTCCGAAACTGAAAGCTGATGTGTTGGCGTAATGGCTCCTCCTGGAAATGAACTTTACATGTACTTAAAGATAAGTCCCTTTGCTACTAGGTTTGAGCTTGACTTGTACTGTACTTTCATTTTCGATGAGGTAAAGATGTCTTGAAAGTGAAAGTCAGTTTCATGTCAAATATCTGAATTCAATATAAATCCGGCCGATTTCTGTCCTCCTACTGCTTAATTGACTTGTCAAGGTTCTATTTCAGTGTATTTTGGTGCATTTGGTAAGAGAGAAAGAAAAAAAGGTTAAGTCGTTCCACCCTATAAACTTTGAGCAGCAAAAATCAACAAAGAAACTATTTCGGGCAAGGTTTCTGTTTTGTAATTGAAAGGTAAAAAATAATTAAGACTACAATGCATCAGAAGGCAAATATATACCGTGATACAGGTACTTGTAATGGTTGAAAAGAAGAACAAAACAAGAGGATAAAATACATTTTTTATCTTTATTATTAACGCATCATCGCAAACCACGGCCAAATTGTACATGCAATCCTCTCCCTTTGCAGATGGCAGGTGTGACGTTGAATTTTGACCCGAGTTGAAAATTGACCCGAGGGTCATTTTTCAACGTTGAATACTGAGACGTAAGATGTTGAATTTAGACCCTAGTCCGTTGAAAACTGAGCCGGGTCGTGGAATTTTGATCATGAAACCAGTTCTAAATTCAACAGCAGAAAAACACATATTTATGACTAGCTGCAGAGCTGTTAAGTCTTATGGTTTTATATAAAATTAACGCAACTCACCTGTACATGTGATGTATGTCACCTGTACATGTACATGTGATGTATGTCACCTGTATATGTAATGTATGACTACGAAAGCCTATTAGGATCAATCTAGAGAGAAAAAAATTTAAAAGGCGTAATA